AAGAATGATTAGGGGATGGAACAACTTCCATATGAGGAGAGATTAATAAGACTGGGACTGTTCAGCTTGGAAAAGAGGCGACTAAGGGGGGATATGATAGAGGTCTGTAAAATCATGACTGGTGTGGAGAAAGTGAATAAGCAAGTGTTATGTTACCCTTCATGTAACATAAGAACCCAGTGTCACTTAATGAAATTAATAGGTAGCAGGTTTAAAACAAACAAAAGGAAGTATTTCTTCACACAATGTACAGTCAACCTGTGGAACTCCTTGCTAGGGGATGTTGTGAAGGGCAAAACTGTAACTGGGCTCAAAAAAGAACTAGATCAGTTCCTGGAGGATAGGTCCATCAATGGCTATTAGCTAAGATGGTCAGGGACACAACTCCATGTCCTGGGTGTCCCTAAATCTCTGACTGCCAGAAGCTGGGACTGGATGACAGGGGATGGATCACTTGATAAATTGCCCTGTTCTGTTTATTCCCTCTGAAGCACCTGGCACTGGCCACTGTTGGAAGACAGGACACTGGGCTAGATGGACTCTTGGTCTGACCCAGCATGGCCGTTGTTCTGTTTTTATGTGCTGTAGGGACTATCCTGCATTGGCTTCAGGGACGTGGGCTGGAGGATCTGGTAGGTCTCTTCTGTCTCTCTCTGTAAATGGTGATGGTACCCACTGGAGAAGGAGGCGACAAAGTAATTCTTATCCAAATAGTACAGTGCCCCTTACCCACACCCTGGAAGGAAGGCCTAATGTTACCAACAGCGGGGAGGCCTTTTGCTGCTGTATAGCGCTGGTGGTTCCTGCAAACAAAGGCAGTACCATTTAGAGTGACGGGGCCGGCTCTGGGCATGGTTGAGCATGGCAGTGGTTTGTGGGGTTCATTGTGAAGACACAGGTTCATCATGAGACTTGTGCCCCCAAACTGGCCCAGGCCTGACCTCTCTTTGGCCTCTTGCTGCACAATGAGAGATCAGTGGCTTGAAATAACTAAAGCAAACCAAATCGTGTGCCGTGTCAACTGCAGAATTAAAAACAAACTGACATGCTTTATCCTGGCACCAACGAGGGGAACCGCAATGCCACGTGGGATCCCACCCTAGCTAGAAATCAAGCTGATGAAGTAAAAAGTAGCGGGAATGAAACAGACTGCAGGGACCCTTAGCACAGGAGTGAAAAATAGAGAAATTGGTCTCTGGTCTGCCGAAAGAAAGGGTCAAATCCTGATGCCATGTTTACTCAGTTCTCACATGGGCCAGTTCCCCCGACAGCAGAAGGGGTTTTGTCTGCATACGGATTGAGTGAAAATGAAATAAAGAGCTCAGGGCTTGAACCAGTGAGATTCAAGAGACTTTATTAAGGTTAATTTTGGAGGCAGCTTAGCCCCGCTGCCACTTCCCCGGTACAATGTCAGTGTGGATTCCTCCAGGGTGGACCTCCCTACCCCACCCCTTTGAGCACCTGCTGATGGGCTTGTCTCGTGATTGTTGTGACGTGGTTGTACAGAGCGTGTGGAGGAGGACATCTCCTTTGCTGGATTTTAGTGTTTGCTCTGACTCAGATTCTCCTTCCAGTTCTCTGGCTTCACCCTGGAATTCAGCACAGCTGTGTGGAGACGTCACTGGGGGCTGCACAAACAGCTCTGAAATTGGGTATCCAAGAACTGGAAAGGAAATGCAGGGCCCCTGAGGCAAAGGCAAATTTCAGCTTGGGTCAGGAACTGATTCTAATGTCAGATCAGTAATGAACCTGGAGCCCTTAATGTACAGCCCGCAGCCAGTGTCTGGCCATCTGTGCCTCTGGGGTCTGGCTATGTTTTTCTACATCCCCTGATAAGGCCTCTAGAGAAGTCCGAGGGAGCCTTGTAACTGCCTGTGATAACTACATGTGGCAGTGGCCTGAGCCGCAGCTGGGGTGTCTCATCTCTGTGCACTGCGGTGGGAAGGAGGAGCAGAGCCAGCGCTCTCAGGACGCGAGAACGCTGCTTCCTGTGCCTCTGCGCTGTGATTCTCAAATGGGCGCAAGATGGGACTTCCACATGGGCCACCGTCGGCGTGTGCAAGCCGGCCACACCGTGTGCCCTTTGGTCTAGCACTGAGCCAGAGAATGCTGCTGAGATATGGGCCTGCGTCTGTGACACCCCCATCCCCCACAACTGTAGTGGGGAAAGTGGCCGGGAAGCCAACGCTTCTGGCGCACTCTGCTCCGGAAGGGCAGGCGATCTAGCAGTTACAGCAGAGGGCAGACATCTCTTTCCACATCTAGGAGGGAGTCCAGTTGTCACAGCAGAAGCCTAGGAAACGGGGCACTCTTGGGATTTGTTTGTGGTGCTGGGATGGGTTGGGGGGCATGTGGCCTCATAGTTAGAACAGGTGACTGAGAGACAAGGCTCCTGCGTTCTACTCCTGGCCATGTCACTGACTTACTTTGTCACCTTGGACAAGTAGCACCACTTCTTTGTGCCTCAGTTTCCTCCTCTGTAAAATGAAGATAATACTAATACCTCTTTGGGTTTTTGCACAGGTTAAATAGTGTTTGTAAAGCACATTGAGATCCTCAGGTGAAAGGTCTGATATAAATACAAAGTGTAGGCAATACATTTTCCTAAGGATTTTCCTGGACACTCAACGTGGGATTAGACTGTAGAACTCACTGCCATAGGATGACAGTGAAGCAAAGAATTTAGCAAAATTGAAAGAGGTTTTGGATGGTTACATTATAACAAAAATTCCCAGTTATAAAAGTTAATGCTAAAAGCCTTTTTGGAAGGGAGATAAAACCTACTACGTCAGGTCTTAGGCCAATCTCTCTTATGAATTAGCATGAGACCTTCATGGGGTCAGATTATCCCAAATCTACCCACAGCGGGGTTTCTTGAACCTTCCTTTGGTGCGTCTGATGCTGGACATTCTCAGGGGCTGGCCTAGATGGACCTGGGTCTGTTCAGTCTGCCAGTCCTTGTGTTCCTCCTGGATTCTAGTCCTCTGTTCTGGATGCAGTGTTCAATATCCCCTGCTCTGTAGGCCCTTCTGTTTCTTCCATGCACCCTGCATTCGTGTGATCAGGGCTGAACGCTCTACATGGGGGAGTCACGTCCCTTTGTCCTGGGTGACTGCAGCTAAAAGGAAAACAGTGACATTAGTCTCCAGCATTCTTGCCGCGTGGCACCCCGGGAAGGCCACTGTGGCAGTGCAGCTGCATTGATGCCCGTGCATTGTAGGGAGCAGGGAGCCTGCCCCTAGCAGCATGTCAGCTACAGCTGTAGCCGAGTTGCTGTTTAGACACAATTTTCCAAATGTTATAAAGGAACCTCAGGGCTGGTATTGTAAATACAGAGGAGTCGCTCTTTTGACTGCTCTCCGGTTGGCCACACCCTGCCCTTGCTGGGATTCCGCCTTCAGCTCATCTCCTCGGAACCGTAACAGCAGCTAAATGCGTCTCCTGTTTCCAGTTACTTTTATAGTGAGGCAGTATTAGCTTGTTTGTCCAGAGAACAAAGGCAGAAGCCATCTGCTGAGTGTTTGCCGATGGCCTGACATCACAAGCGGAAGGGTTCTGAAGACTTGCCTGCTATAACAACTCCTCCGTCAAAGCCAGATTCGTTTAGCCACGGTCCTGAGCTGGTTGTAGGAACAACATGTGCATGAGGGATTGATTTCAGGGGAGTCGCGCTCATTCACAGTAGATCTGAATCTAGCCAATTGCAAAAGGGGATTAGAAAAAAAAATACTGGTGCTGTCGCTGTCATATCATGCTTCTCATCTGTAGATCTCAAAGCACTTTACTAAGGTGTGTAGCTGCTGTTATTCCTAGCCAGCATCGGGGAAACTGAGGCACAGAGCTGGGAGGTGACTTGCCCAAGCTCACACTGCAAGTCAGTGCCGTGCCTGAGCTGGCAGGTGTCCCATCGCTCTGGATCATGCCGCTTTCGTAGCGGCTCAGGGTTCGTTAATATTTGTGGCTGTATAGGTGAACTGAATGGTGGTATAAAGGAGCCTCATAGCAATGATTTGATTCCACACTAGCGGTCTCCTCTCTGTAGCCTTGTTAATATATTTGCTTGGGGTTACACCCTGACATAGTCCTTTGTGAGATCCTCTTGCTGAAGATAGTGTAATGGAATGCTAAACTGTATTATTCTGTTTAGCTGCTATCTAGTACTACTGTGTGTACAATTTAAATGAACCTCAGCTGTACCTGACAGAGCATTGAAAGAGCATATGATGAACACATCTGGTGTGTTTCTCATTTAGAAGCAAGCTCTGTAGCCAGCCCATATCTGGTAGAGAAGTACATAACATGGTGTCAGGAGTAAACTAAGAACAGAAACAGAAGGAACAAAGCATGCTAATCAACATGCTACTCTTCAGTGCCCCAGAAAACTTCAGCTTTGACACACCTTCACAATGGACAGACTAGATGCAATATTTTGCAAGATTTCAAATTGCAAACAAACTCCACAAAGACACCGGAGATACACAGGTATCAACTTTAATTTATGCTATGGAGAAGCAGGCAGAGCATATCTTTAAATCCTTTGACTTTACTGAAGACAGTCACAAAGATGACTATGAAAAGGTTCTGGCTATGTTTGATCCATACTATACCTTAGAGAAATATGGTTTATGAAAGAGCATGTTTCCAACAGAGAATCCACGGAGCAGAGGAAAATATTGAAAATTGTATACAAGGGCTGCATACATTGGCTGAAAACTGTGATTTGAGGAATGCAAAACATGAAAATATCAGAGACAGGCTGATTATGGGATTAATAGAAAAAAACCTTTCATGGCAGCTTCAGCTGAAGTGAGATATAACCTTAGCTGCAGCTATACAGATAGCAAAACATTCTAAACTGATGAAACAGCAAAACTTAGAGAAACTGGACAGATTTGAAAAGCTGAAACTAGTTTAGAAACTGTAAACAGACACTGGAGTGTTAAAACCCCTGAGGCAAGGAGAGAGAATTCCCAGGCTAAGAACAACAAATGCCAGTCTACATGTACAAGGTATGGAAAAAGTCCTATCCCAAGAGCATCCGAGGCACACGGTGTAATAAATGCATGAAACTTGGACTCTTAATTGCAGCAATAGCACACTTAACTCATAATGCAAATCAAGGTTCACTCTGTCCATTCCGGGACAGCCAATGAGATCAGACATTTATGCCCTCACGTCCTAAGTCTGATGCACAGTTCTCCTATGTACCAAAGGGTGACGTGCAATAAACAATGTATTGATCATGAACCAGCTTGCAAAAAATCCCAGATGGAAACATTCTTGCAGGCCAGCATTTGGTGCCTGTCACATGACCTGGGTGTTTAGTTGCCTGAGGGTACTAAGAAATGGAATGAATGGCTCTGGTTCACTTGCGGTTTTCTTGACGTAATTTACAAATAAGACTCGAATACAGGAATTGAAAGAAATCACTCCTGCTCACTTCCCATCTCGCCTCTGAGATTTCTGGTGCCAAATCAATTTTAATTTAATTTGAGTATCCTCGAAGCAGATTTTTCCCATAATGTACATGATTCCCACTAAAGGCTGCTGACAGCTGAAGCCAGTTCCCAGTTCTCAATACTGTCCTCTTGAGTTTGGGGCCCCTATTGTCTCCTTTGTAGGTGGAAGTGACTGTCGATGATATTGGCCAGACAGGTGGGTAAGGGACCTCTCTAGAGGCTGATGTGAATGCCACTGGGGGCCCGAGGAAAGAGGCGTCTGTGGTGAAGGTTCAGGACTGGCACTCAAGATAACCTGTTCCCAGCTCTGCCACAGCCTCACTGTGTGACCTTGGGCAGGTCATTTAATCATAGTGTGTGATGGGGATGATGTTATTCCATTACTTCAGGCCCTGTGATGTGGAGGGAGCCCATTTATGCATATAACCTAGAAATGATGCGCTTTGAATTAACAAGCCAGCCTTAACGGTAGCCTAAAAATGGTAACATTCTGATCTTGTGATGGGGAACATGAATCCCCATCGTGCCACGCTCCCAGACAGCTGCCTGATGGCAAGAGACATACAGCACTGTTTAAAGAAAGCAAAAAGATAAACATTTCTCCGACTTGGTGGAGTGCAGCCATGAGCTGCTAAGCGGGAGATGTGTCCTCGGATTTCCATGAAGGAAGGGTTTCATCTCTGCTCTGCCCGAGCACTTGAGATTGGCTTCTACAATAGGATGGAAAATCGAGCTCATGCAGAAGAGAGTTGCTCCTGTTTTTGTGCCTGGACATGGAGAAGAGCTAAGGTAGCCTCTGAAATGGCATTATCCACCACCACGCCAGTGTGGTGACCCTGGCCCACTGCCATGCCGATAGACACTTCCCAAGGTGATGCCGTGTGCACAGGACTGGATTAGTGAGCAATTGACAGTGCCCTTTGGTTCACCTTAGAAACAACTATGCTATAAGGAGCTATATGCACCCATTCAAATCCATCCCTGCTTGTCACTGTCTAAAAGCTGTTTCTGTGCAACATCTGTTCAATTGCCCATACTGGTGGAGCCGGTACACCTTCTAGCAGAGAGACGTGCGCATCACAGCCACCATTACTGGCCCCCTGGCTGCCTTCTCCGCTGAGAATCCAAGGTCTGAATGGGCCACGGAGACATCCTTAGAGGGGACCTCTCGAGAGCAGGGTTCCGATGCCTTGGAGTGACCTTGAGCTCTTGCTGCCGGTACTAACCTGTTTGAGAAGACTTCAGTCTCCAGGGCTCAGGCACTTTTTGCCAAGAAAAAAATCACATGAAAAGAAAATCCAGTGCAGCCTTTAAACCACAGCAGGGGGGAAGCCACTGTACTTCTGCTTGAAAGCCCATTGCATAAAGTGTTTCCCCAGACCAAGGAAACCACTTCTGGGCCTTCTTGCCCCTCCCTATCCCCTAATGGTTGAGTCTTCTCTCACACCTGTGCTTGGTGCAGGGAAGCCCCCATTGGCTCCATCTCATTGGCCTTTCCCAGTGTGTCTGTTCATGCTTCGATAGAGGATCGCCACTACCTGCTGTTCTGTCTGACTCATCCCCTGAATGTGGTCCACCAACACCCTCACCCAGAGCACGTCGGGCTGTCTTCTTTAAAAGAACATCTGCACTACGGTAAAGTTCACTGCGGAGATGCCGAGCATGTGGGCCTGGGCTCTCTCACTGGCAGGGCCCAGACAATGGGGAGCTGCTTGATCTTCTCCATCACGGTGAGATAACGCCGGACCTATGGAAACGGTGACAGATGTTGTTTTAGTTACCACCCTCCCTGGCTGCCCAGCAAGGTGCAGGCTGCACTATGTAGCTTAGTGTGGTGAGGAGCAGAGACGGATCTCACCCGGAACCCCTCAGACTTCGGGGAAGTTCATCTCTGGATCCCAACTGGGATTTTATCAGAGCGCTGGGTCAGAACTCCCTGAAACTTTGAGGAAACTCAAACCAAGATCTGTACTAAGTAGCCTGGGCCTTTCTCTAGTTTGACGAGGTTAGAGGTAGGAATGGCGATTGAAACGGGAGATGCAAGCCCAGGGCAATAACAATTGCAAGTTGCCAGGAGAACACTGTCTCGCTGGATTATTGGATGGCTGCATAGGTACCTATCAGAACCATCTGTGTAGATGCCTCCGATCCAGGAGTCTTTTCAGATCCTCCAGTTACGAGCTGTTTAAGTGGCTAATGAAGTGGCGCTTGGTAAACCTGCAGGGCCCCGTTATGGTAACGAACAAATCCAGATACCACTGTATGAAATAAATGTGCAAAGTCGGAATGAAGGTCGTATTGGTGTCTGCATCAGCATGTCACTAGCAAGTGACTCCGTGGACAGGTCTGTGCAGTGCCCCAGGGACTTCTGAGCTTGGTAGTGAACTTATGCTACAGAGCCTGGCAACCTTCAGTTCATTTGGCTTTTTCCAGTTCTGCATTACTCCTACCCTGGCCTTGCATTGTCCTTCCACTCTGCCAGCAGTGCCAGTCTCCTTCCCCCGATAACATGCCACTGTGCCCCTCTCCCATGGCACCTGAGCATGAAACTCTCTCGTTGAGCGAAATTACAAGGCCCTCTCCTCATTCACATCCCTCCTAAAGACTCTCTCCTGCCATGATGCCTAGAAGGGATCCGGCTGACCTATGCTGACAAAGCTGAGGATAATTATGGATAGTTTATAGAGCTTCTGTATTTTTAACACTGCATTAACCCTATATTGCTATGAGATGGCCAAACACCTTGAACCCACTACCCCTCAGTTGTACTCCTGCCTCCCTTTCGATGTCTGCCTCCCAGCCTGCTGGCTGTCTGTCTGTCTACATTTGGAGCCCCGCAGGATAGCAGCTGATCCCTGTTTGGAAAGCAGCTAGCATATTGTGGATGCTACCAGAAACAAACAAAAACCGGTAAAATCTTCGCTGTGTGCCAGTTACAAAGAGAATATAAATGTATCTCCCATAATACAGGAGTGTGTGTGTGTGTGTGAGTGACATACATACCTGGAGCTGCAATGTCATACACTTACGGTAATTTCACTGGTTCCCAAAAGAATTCAGTCTGTTTATCAGAATTCAGTGTGAGTGACTTGGGGGAAAAGGAAATGTTTTCGAGTGGCTGCTGTGAACAATGTTATTGCTAAATTTAAACCAGTCAAACAGTGCTGAAATGGGTTGTGCTGCAATTTCTTTTCCTGTTTTACCATCCGTTTGTTTGCTTTTTGTTTCCACAGAACAATTCAATTAAAACGTCGAAATACAATTTCTTCACTTTCCTGCCTCTCAACCTGTTTGAGCAGTTTCAGCGAATAGCCAATGCCTATTTTTTGTTCCTGCTGATTCTGCAGGTATGAATTCACTCTCCTTTTTAACAGACTCTCTGGCCTCTTCCCAGTGCCTGGCTGTGGGTTGACTTGGAATAAAGCACTAGCTGTGCCCATAATGTGAATTAGCATCTTATTAAAACCCAAAAGCAGAGACATAAAACAGGGCAAGAAAGGAAACTTGTTCTGCCGAGGTCGGCAAACGTGGCATAGTTCCTCTCTGGCCGGAGTGCCTGTTAGACACGCTGGCTTGATCCCCAGGGAAGGGAAGTTTTAGTTAATGTTTACAAGATGTTGTGCCTGTTTTTCGTCTCCCGTTCTACAGGTGAGTGCTGCTGACTGCTGTTGGGTTCCTCGGATGGTTCCCTCCTGCAGCACCTAGTGAAACCTGTCCTTATCAATCTTATTCAAAGACAAACTGCTGGTATCTACTGTGACGGGTTGGGTCACAGAAACCCCCTTGGGGCTGCCAACTGATGTGCCAAGACTATTTCTGCCCCTGCTTCCCTGCCAGCTCGGGACCCCAGCACCCTGTCTTGTTGAGCCAGACACGCCCGTCGGCTCCAACACAGACCCAGGGTCTGAACCACATGCCCCAAAGCTGCAGACTTAACGGAAAGCAATTTAAGAAGTGTTCCTGTCTTTAACACTCAGATGCCCAACTCCCAATGGGGTCCAAACCCCAAATAAATCCGTTTTACCCTGTATAAAGCTTATACAGGGTAAACTCATAAATTGTTCGCCCTCTATAACACTGAGAGAGAGATATGCACAGCTGTTTGCCCCCCCCCCCCTCAGGTATTAATACATACTCTAGGTTAATTAATAAATAAAAAGTGATTTTATTAAATACAGAAAGTAGAATTTAAGGGGTTCCAAGTAGTAACAGACAGAACAAAGTGAATTACAAAGTCAAATTAAATAAAACACACAAGTCTAAGCCTAATACAGTAATAAAACTGAATACAGATAAAATCTCAACCTCAGAGACATTACAATAAGTTTCTTTCACAGACTGGACACCTTCCTAGTCTGGGCACAATCCTTTCCCCTGGTACAGGCCTTCTTCCAGCTCAGGTGGTAGCTAGGGGATTTCTCATGATGGCCCTCCCTTTGTTCTGTTCCACCCCCTTATATATCTTTTGTATAAGGCAGGAATCCTTTGTCCCTCTCTGGGTTCCCAACCCTCCTTCTGAATGGGAAAAGCACCAGGTTAAAGATGGATTCCTGTTCAGGTGACATGATCACATGTCACTGCAAGACTTCATTACCCACTTGCCAGCACACACGTATACAGGAAGACTTACAGGTAAAACAGAGCCATCTACAGACAATTGTCCTGGTTAATGGGAGCCATCAAGATTCCAAACCACCATTAATGGCCCACATAGTTTGCATAATTACAATAGGCCCTCAGAGTTATGTTTCATATTTTAGTTTCTGATACAAGAGTGATACATTTATACAAATAGGATGACCACACTCAGTAGATTATGAGCTTTGTAATGATACCTTACAAGAGACCTTTTGCATGAAGCATATTTTAGTTACATTATGTTCACACACATCAGCATATTTTCATAAAATCATACAGCGTGCAACGTCCCATCTACCAACTGCATAAATGGAGAGCCTGGGAGAGAGCTGACTTTGCAAACACTGACATTTCCGTGAGACTGAGGGGGTTACAGCAAGGAGCTTGCCATTACTGTACACAAAACGGAGCAGATTGCTGCTGTGTGCTCAGAGCAGGGGGTGGAATTGCACGCTGGGGCACGTAGGCTCTAATAAAGGAGGTGACAGCAGAAGGCACCAGTGTAGAACTCCAAGGCTCATCCGGGGCTCTGGGTTGGAGTTTGCCCATTTCTGATAGTAATGTGTGTCTCTGCCCTAAAACTGAGCATATCTCACCAGCCTATATCGGCATCTCTGCTCCTTTGTACTTTGCTCAAACAATGATAAAAGTCATGTACTTTGTCATTTTTAAACCACGTCTCTTAACCCCGGTATCAAAGAGCGTGGCCCTCACGGAGGACTGATTCTAAGGCAAGTTTGATGTTTTTAGTTTGGCTTTTTAGAGTCATCCAAGCACAAACAAGCCTGGCACATTACCCTGTTAGAATCACCTTTGCCACGCTCAGACAACTCAGAAATGACTAAACAGAATTTTACTAAACTTTAAAACCTCCGCTATGTGCTGAGAGCGACCCTGGGAAATATCAGCTCACAGGGACATTTTTCAGGAAATCATAAGAACCTAAAACCCAGGTTTATAGTGAAAGTGCCTCCTCAGCCATAACTACAGCCTTGTTACTGGTATATGACACTATGGCTGTTGGTCTTTAATCTATAGATAAGATTTATCAGATAGGTCCCTTTATACTCGTCAGCAGCGTCTTTTCCTGAACCATTAAAGGTCAACCGTAAATAAAAACTGTTTGTGCTTTTCTATTGCCTTGATCAAGGTGGGCTCAGAGAAATGGCTATTGGGTTGTTACCTTTCAGTTTTCCCCCCGTTTGCCCACCACCACCACCACCGCCTCCTACAAAGATCAGCTCCTTGCCCCTTCTTCTTTTACTCAGAGGACTTGGGTGATAGTTGTAGGACTTGGAATGGGACAGTGGAGCAGAACATGGAATCCCAAGCTGCATCTCTCCCATCCTGAGGGCTTTTCTGCGCTAGAAATTTGTACTGCTGTAACCGGTATCGATAAACTACACCACCCCCTAGCGTGGAAAGTTATCTTAGTATAAAGGTGCCTATGCCAGGGGTGCCAGTCCCGTACGGGAAGGGGAATAATTATACTGGGAAAAGTCACGTTTACACCACTGTAACTATGTCCACACTTGGCATTTTACCAGTGAAATAAATCTCCCCTCCCCCACCGAGTCAGCTCAGTTTAACTCTTAAGTGTGGGCCAGGGCTAAGCCTCCCCCCATTCTTCACAATGAAGGACGGGGGGAAATGCAGGCCACGTTCAGCCTATTGAGAGAGCCACCCCCCCCAGCCTCCACATGTCCGTGCCGGAGTCCTCCACAAAAGGGACTTGATATTTCTAATGTAAAAAGCCAGAAGGAAATAAACCCCCTCCCTTTCCCAAGACCCCCCGGCCCCTTTTCACACAAAGGACGGTTTTCCTTTGCAGGTTTGTGTGTAAAAGATGGCGCAGAATTTCCGTCTCTCGCTCTGTGATTTGTAGGCAGAGTAAAAGCTTTTAGCAGCCTCCCTGGGATCCAGTGTTTTGTTTGTTTGCGACGTTGGCTGTAAAGGTTTTAAACCCCGGCTTTTCTTCTCCTGCAGCTCATTCCGCAGGTTTCCTCCTTGTCTTGGTTTACAACAGTGGTGCCGCTGGTGCTCGTACTGACCGTGTCGGGCGCCAAGGATGCCATCGATGATTTTGTAAGATGATTGGATTGCCAACCCTCAGTTCAGAGTGTGCCGTGATCCCCCAGGGCCCTGATCAAAGGGAAACACTGTCAGTCACTACAGCCGGAGGGGGGTGGTGGCAGAGTTTGTCTATGGCCAGTATGGGGCGCTGCGGTCAGGCCCCAACATCCATGTTGAATCACCTAAATAAGTAGCTAGATTTTTCAGAAGTCCTGAGCACCAACGGCTCCCGCTGACTTCCATGGGAACTGTGGAGGGCGCAGCAGTTCTGAAAATCCGGCCACTTCTTTAGATGCCTGAATACAGGTTGAGGAGTCTGATCTCAGGCACTCGTGCTGGAAAATCTTGGCTCAGCACTTTAGATCCCACTGCAGAGCTCCGCTAGGAAAGCACATTGTGGGGGGAAGTTGGGTCGGATTGTTCCAAGGTGCTCGGCATTAGCCTACCTCTGTTCCCGGTGGAGTTGGTGGTAAAAGTCCTATTGGCTGCAATGTGAGCGGAGTGAGGTCTGCTGCTGAATGCTTTCCAAAAGCCCATTGCATGTGTGTTGGCACGTGGTTTTCTCAGCTCCGTCTAACAACTCTGGTCATTGAGTCCAGTCCCACGAGGGGTCGGTGCAGTTCTGAACAAGACCGAACGAAATCTCATTCTGAAATATGGGCAGTGAAGAGCCCTCTTAAAAAATAGGGGACGCACCCAAAACCCTTATGGCCATTTCATGTAGCAGCAGATAAATGGATTCCTCCAAGCACCTTATCTGCAGAACTGTGGCAGTCAAGGCCAGCCTGGGGTTTTGTGGGACTCCAGGTTAAATGATACACCAGGGCCCACCTGTCTCTTTCTCCTCAGAGTGGGCCCTTCCATACCAGGACCCTGCTTGCCTGTCAGTCTCTGTCCCAGCCAGCCCTCTGCACCAGGTGCTGCCAGAGTTAAACGTGGACTTGACAATTTGGCCTAAAATTCTGGGTGGAGAGACCCCCAGAGGGGTGGAATGGAGTCTTTGGCTCATGGGTGCATATTGATGGCGAGCACCCAAAAACACTGGTTCTCTGAAAGTGCAGGGGTCAAGGGAAGCAGCCCCTGTGCAGGGTTGGCCCTGGTAATGGGTATGGGTATTTCCCCTCTTCTGTCTTTCAGAGTCATCTTGATTTCTGATTTAACTGAGCGAAGTTTCCCATAAACAGGAGGGTTAAGAGCATAGAAAAAGTTATGGCACTATTCTGTCCTTGCATTTATGCCCTTAGCATTTCCCCAGCTAGGCAGAAATCCTGAAAGGGATTATCCTCTGATCACACACACTTGGTTTCTGTGAAGTTTCTTCTCACACCCTGATCAACTTTTACGTTTTTCAGAATCGACACAAAAGTGACAATCATGTCAATAACCGTCCCGTCCAGGTGCTGATTAATGGCAGGTAAATCTTATTTCTTTACGGAAATTTTGGCTGAAGGTTTATCTCCAGGAGACGCTTCTACAAAACAATCAAAATTTCTGACAGATTCATCAAATGTGACTATTAAAGCTCCCTACTATGTACATTCTATTGCGTGCATTCTACTTCCACTGGAGATTATGGCAGCTTTGTTTTAAAGTATTATTTTACCTTATGGGATCCCAAAGTGTGCTCTGCTTCCCTAGTCTTGTTCCTTCATGCCCACCCACGTGTATGACAGCTAGATTTCACTATGCGGTCTTCAGTTCAAGTAGCATGACAAACATCCCAGGAAAGTTCATTGTTCACAGTGCTGTGTGCTATTGTTTGGTTAACGTATCTGGTTAATGAGTAGCAAAAGGTAGTGTCACTTTGTCAGTGCAGATACTAAAGCCATCAGCCCACACAGAAAAAGTTGGGCTGTAAATTTTAAATAGGAGATGCCAATGACAGATTATTTTACCAAATATCCCAGAGACACCAGACGTGGCTGCATTCCCTTGTGTCATATGTATTTGTCTTGTTTATTAATTTCTGAGCAGACAGAACTAGGCATAATCAGCAAAGACTTTTGATGTTAAATTAACAACTACAAGAAACTTCTTTGTACACACACACACCACTGCCATCTATTGGATGGAATCAAAACTGTTCAACTGTGTGTCATGGGCACTTTACTGCTAGCAATGATTTTCCTTTTGCTCAAGTGGTAGGGTGCTGGGCTTTTGTGGCAAGTAGATGAGTTCTGTACTCACTGTTCCATGAAGACCCAACTGCTCTTGGAGTATAGCTGGTAACAAGGGTGAAGTGCTTGGTCATCCTAGGTTTTTCACCATCCTGTAGAAACCAGTGTAGTGTACAAACACCACCAAATGATACGAACCATGAAATAAAGCTGGAAACCAGTGATTTGCGGTGGTTGTTAGCATTTTCAGTCCAGTAAATCTGAAACCAGTCACACCGTCACTACGATCCCCACTGAACACATACGTTTATATAGCAAAGTGCATAATTCACTTCAAACGGCCGGAGGCCACAGGCTCCAGGGTTGCTATCATTGAACTCCAATGGAGTTTTACTAATGACTTCACGGAGACCCAGATCAGGTCCATATGATCTGTGGGGACACATACCCAATGCTGCCTGTAAAACTATTCGGGCAATTTTTCACCTCTTAAGTTTTTGCATATGCAGAAATTCTGATTTGTTCATGCAACCAGGAGGTACCAGACAGGTAGCTGGATGCCTGGACATCTTGCTTTGGGCATTAAAAAAAGGCCATGAACAGCACGGATCGGAATCCTTGCATGTGCAGCTTCCGTAGCTGGGTCGCTGCCCTTTTTGACAGCTAGACCTACAGGGTCAGAGCTGCCTTTGCACCATCTGATCTTCTTTAGGGGACTTAGACAACTTAAGTAATTGGGCTAATTTCCAAGTAATTTTAGTGGTATCTGCTTAAATTGTAGAGGGAATCTCTTCCCCAGGACCCCACCTAGATTTTGGATTTGTAGCAGAAGAGAAGGAAAAGTCAGTGTCTGTTAGTAGAATAGTGCACAGGTGCCATGTTCATATTATGGAGCCTACTTCTCAACCGCACGTGTGTGTGAACCTCTCCCATTTATTACTGATGTATATTGGTAGTGGCTAGGAGCCTGTCCTGGACCCGCGCTCCTTTGTGCTACATGCTGGACAGACACGGAACAGAATGACAGTCCCTGTCCCCGACAGCTCACCGTCAAGTCCTAATACTACTGATGAACGGGCTTCAAGAGCACCGCTGACTCTCTTGGGGTCGGAGCGCTCTACACTCCGTGACTATTTAAAGGGAACTTTCTCTTGCAGATTGAAGGACGATAAATGGATGAATATCCAAGTGGGAGACATCATAAAACTAGAGAACAACAACTTTGTGACGGTGAGTGCAGTTTGTTGTAGCCACGTGCGCTGTGACTCTCTGGAATTACTCCTCAGACAAATAAACCAGTTATTCACTACTGACGCTAACTGGCTCAGAGATTTTCCGTTCACAGAAGTCAATTGAACTTGTTGTGTAACTGTGTCCTCTGTCCTGAGATCTCAAGGTAACGTCACTGGGGCGGTTTTTCTGTGGCTGTGTAAGCTCATACCGCCCTGGTTTTATTTGTGTTCAGGCAGATTTACTGCTACTCTCAAGCAGTGAGCCGCACAGCCTGACGTACATCGAGACGGCTGAACTGGATGGGTAAGTGAGCCTGGCCCTGGGGCTGCAAACACAAGGCTAATTTTTGCATGGTGAATCCTGATATTGTGAGGCCCAGCTGCTTCTGTGTTCTCAATGCTGCCTAGTCCAGAGATGAATCCACAGAGCATTGATTGTTCCTGCCAGGAAACCCGTGACCCTGGCTGCACGCAGCAAGTGTAGGGTGATGGTGTTTTCTAACCCTACAGTAAAATGCTCTTTCAGCACCACTCCAATATAAGCATCTTCTCTTTTATATCTAGAGAACACTGCATGTCAGCTCCGCCTGTGGCACGTTCTCCTGCCCCATGCACCGATCCTATGGTTCCCAAAGGGTCACATCTCATTTCACTTTCCTGTTATGCATTTGAGCATGAGATGGAGGCATAATTGTTTGCCTTAAACTTGCCCTGGGAAAAGATTGTGCTCCACAGCCCAGGCCACTGCTTCCTCCTCTGAACAGCTCTCTGATGAGGGAGGCAGCTTTTGTTCCAATCAGTTGTCCATAACGAGTGATCTTCTGGGAAGTGTCTTGAGCAGAGTACCAATGGCTGCTTCCCCAGCAGTATCCCAACAAAGGCAGGTGCCTCACATGCAGAGGCCTTGGCCCGTTTTACTCATGCTGGCAATTCTGGTAGCACTGACATTGACAATGCATGTTCCTGAAAGACCTCACATCAGCAGCAACAGCTCTGTGGTTTTTATGTTCACCCCGGCTGTTCTTCTCAGCCACTTCTCTGTCTATGTGAACATCAGCCGCTCCCAGCATCACCCTAGTGACCCATTGTATTCCATCACTCTGCACCGTGGCCAGCTTGCCACAAGTCTGAGGGCCACACTCAATTCCTGTTAGCTGGGTCCAGAACCCACAGAAGTGCTCAGATACCACAGGGATGATTGTGATGTAAGAACTTAGTGGGACAGAGGGCTGCTCAGAGAGCTCACGTGTCCAGCTCGACTCTTTGCAGTGATGGCGTGAGACCAGAGCCCTCTGACCCTCTTCTGCCCCTGGCCCAGCGTTCCGCAGGATCAGCTGACTTGGTGCAGAACCAGTTTATACAGTGGCAAAGGACTATATTCCCTTTGTGGCCATGTAAAAATGGTCCTGATTTGACTCTTAATAAGGAGATGCAGCCTGTAGACCCTGCAAGCTCCATCTGGATCCTAATGAATGAGAACAGCTCCAGGAACAGAAGAGGGACCAGGCATGTAGGAGTTTGACTCATGCTTTTATTATAGGGAAACCAACCTCAAAGTGAAGCAGGCACTGACGGTCACTGCGGAGCTGGGAGAGAACCTTCAGAAACTGACTGATTTCAACGGTGAGTGTGCAGAAAAAATGAAGGTCCCAAAGCATTTCCCCTAAGGCCTGAATTCCACCCGAAGTCGGAATTCTCCTCTCCGAGCCGCACTGTAGGCCCCTGGTGTCCACTCTGCCCTGGGTCCCTGCCCAGCGCTCCCAGGGATAGCAGCAGCACGCAGTGCAGATCAGATCTTGTGTGCTGCCATTGACTGCAGTGGGTGGGCAGTCACATGGTGAGGTGCACTAAGACACTTAGTGTCTGTGTAGGCTTGTTGAGACCCCATCAAATCCTCCACGTAAGGCTCCTGCAAACCGCCCCCTGGGAAACAAAACAGGTAGTCACTGCATTGAATTCACCGACAGGGCTTGATTCTGATCTCAGAGCAGTTTTACACCGATGTAAGTCCATTGACTTTAGAGCAGTTACACTTCATTTACACCAGTGTTAGGAGCAGAACCAGCCCATCTGCATGCGGGGGGGATTTCTCAGTTTAGAGCTTTGCACTTTTGTCCTTTCACTGTTTTCTCAACAGCACCAAAAAGATGAATCTGGAAATGTTTTGCTGTCACTGCCTGGCAGCTAACGCGCTGAAAGTCCAGGTGTGCTGTTGAACATGTCCCTGCCACATCACATGTTCCATGGTCCCTTATGGGAAATGAACGAGAGGGCCTGGGCCTGGTGGACAGGTGTCCATGTCGCAGAAATCACACTTGGCGCTATTTCCTCCCCTAGCCACAGCAGAATGGGCCAAGGACAAAAGACTAGACTTATTTTTTCCTAACCTCCTAGAGCTACAGTTCAGGCAAGGACCTGCAAGGCCGACGTCTCTGACTTGGCTTTCTCTAACCTAAACACTTGGCAACATGCACAAAAAAACCCAACCCAACCCTACAGAAGCACAACATTCCATTCTGCACATAGGTCTCCTGCTGGGAGAGGACAAGTCAGAGAACAGGTGACAGATGCTAGTCACATCGCTCAAAGCCCAACTAGAAGGTGCTCAGGGTGATAAGAGAACCCGAATGGAATGGCGCAGAGCAGTGGTGTAGTTCAGCTTATAATGCTGCTCCCCCTGTTCTCCGGGGACTTTTCTTGAGCACCAGATTCATAGGAAATAAAAGCTAAATGACTGAAATGAGTCAATGACTCCACTGTCATATCCATGATAAATGGCGGAATGGTGATCAGCTGGTCCATATTTCAAAGATCTCGGAATGTCTCTAAGCCGTGCAATCTAAAGGGGCTGCTAGACACCACTCTTTCTACAGTGGGATCTTATGGAACAATATTCTTGGTCCGATTTCTCAGTTGTGCGACACCTTATTACTGGATTTCTCTCAAGTGAGGCCTGTGGTTCTGGGCTTTCATATTTCCAGAGCTCTTGTAGACTTTTATTGCTGCACTGGGAAGCCCCCTGTAAATGATGGTCCTTCCCTGAGTGACGGGTTCAAACCCTTATTTTACTGAAGAGGCCATGGCGTGTAACAATGTGGAAACCGAAATCTTCATTTTAAGATAGAGAACTCCTTTCTCAGACAGTTTGTCTAACGAAGATCAAAACAATTGCTTTTTCTAAATGAGTATAACTTGACTCAGAACAAGGAGTAATGGTCTCAAGTTGCAGTGGGGGAGGTCTAGGCTGGATATTAGGAAACACTATTTCACTAGGAGGGTGGTGAAGCCCTGGAATGGGTTCCCTAGGGAGGTGGTGGAATCTCCTTCCTTAGAGGTTTTTAAGGGCAGGCTTGACAAAGCCCTGGCTGGGATGATTTAGTTGGTGTTAGTCCTGCTTTGAGCAGGGGATTGGACTAGATACCTCCTGAGGTCTCTTCCAACCCTAATATTCTATGATTCCATGATTCTATGACTCAACAAATGTTTCAAAATCTTTTATAAAGTTAAAATTATTCCCTTATCTTATGTTTAATTTTTACAACATCTCTAGTTTTGTTTTAAATAAAAGGGGCCCTATTTGCGATATCTAAAGTGAAAATAAAATATTTCCTGTTGTGATTAATATTTGGAAGAGAACTGGGAAGAGTGCCTGGGATTAGACCTAACCTCACATTTCTGGAGCTAACCTCTGTACAAGTATTACATATTGTATGGCGCCCTTCATGCAAGGGCTTCATGGGGCAGGAAAAGAGGAGAAGGTTGGATGGCTAATTCGCAAAGGCAGTGAAGCAAAGTGCTTAACCCAGAGCATGGTATTTGTTGGTGCTGTGCCGGGTCAGGTACAGGGGATTTTTCCAACAAGATGAACTTTATTTATTGTTAGACTTGGGGAAGTGGGAGACATGAGAAGAAACAATCATCAGGTCTCAGTTAGCTGCCACTGACCAGGTCCAGGCTTCATGGGGTTTAAACCTTTTGGGTGAAATGGATTCAGCTGTTGTCCATTAACTTCCCACCAGTAATTGTACTCAATGCAGGATCACTGGGTGAGAGATGATGGCCTCTCTTGTACAGGTCCGGCGAGATGATCACTAAGTCTCTTCTGGCCTTACCTGCTGTACCTCTGTAAGTCCCAACATAGCACAGTTACTGGAGATCCCCCTAACACCACCCTGGTTTTACCACGAGACGTTAGTCAGGGTGTTCTTGGGGCTGCAGCCTCCGCTCTAGAATTCACTTCCCTTGTTGCTTGAGCTGGAAAGCCTCTCGCTTCTCCCAGGCTGTTCTTGGGTGGAGAGCGGTGGGGAGAAGGTTGTAGTGGGAGAGAGTATTAGGGATGTAGAGGTGTGTGTGGTTTTTCAGAGACTAAGGTTAGAAGGAACCATTTTGATCATCTAGTCAGACCTCCTGCATAACACACCACTGCACTGCCCTGAATTAATTCCTGTTTCAAGTCCAATAGCTGTGAAATAAAGCAGAGCTTTTAGACAAACATCCTATCTTGATTTAAAAATTGCCCGTGATGGGGAATCCACCATGATCCTTGGTAAGTTGTTCCTATAGTTAATGACCCTCACTATTAAAAATTTCCAGCCTGAATTTATCTAGCTTCAACTTCCAACAATAGGATCTTGTTAGACCTTTGTCTCCTAGATTAAAGAGCCTGTTATCAAATATTTATTTCCCATGTAGGTACTTACGGAATGAGCTCAAGTCATGTTAACTTTCTCTTAAGCTAAATAGGTTGAGCTCTTGGAGTCTGGCAGTAGCTGGCAGGTTTTCTAATCCTTTAGTCACTCTCTTGGATCCTTTCTGAACCCTTGGTCTAATTGTTGATTTGAATAATAGATTTTATACTAATTGCAGCTGGGCCTTAGAGTAGTGGGTGAGCACATTTTATAAGGAGAGAGAATTATAGAATATGGAAGCGGAATCCACCTCTCTAGCCATCGGGAATTTGGTGGGTCGGCGGCATGGCCAGTGACAAGCCTGTCTTCCTTCGGGTTCCGAAGAAATTCAAGGGATGGAACAGAAGAGATTAAACTATAGTGGACTGAAAAGGGATACTTGGCTATTAATTCTGGCCACGCGTACAGCCATCAGACATTTCCCAGTTGTGCTTATTAGAGTCTGAGAGAAAACTGAATAGGTAAATGTACCTGGCCGACAGCGTTAGCGGGAACCCTGACTCTGCTAGCACATCATGGTGCTGCTGGGAAAGGGCTACCACTGGTTTTGACTCACCGTGTCAAGTGGCTCATTACCCTCCCCACATACAAGGGAGGCGGGGCTGGCTTCCTTGCTTGAGAGAGAAAGGGGGATCGAGAGTGTGGGCTGAGCAGTCCTTGGGAGGGAACTCTGGGAATAACGAAGCGTACAGAGAGGACTTCAGCAGGATTTTGTGTGTGGTTTGAGCTTTGTTTATTAATAAAAACATACCCCGCGAAAGGGGGTTAAGTTCTGACCTGCTACAACTTGAGGGGACTGTGTTTAGGGCAGGGTGAAGACACCATGAACTCACAGGAGTCAAGTTCTTAAAATAGCTCTTCTCCCCCTTATGGAGGGTCCTCTGCAACCCTGCTAGAGCTTCAGGAATTGTTACACACATGCACTTTCTCTGAAAACTCCCCACCTTCTAGCCCATATTATGGCCATGGTCCTTTGGGCTACAAAGTCCTCGATAAAGCGCTCCCACCTGCACACAGTGCTCCCAGCCTCTGCTGCATGCGAAGAGACTGTCTCTAAGGCGGGTTAAGCAGCCGTCACTCTGCTGCTTTGGGGGCGGGAGGGGAGAAGGCTTATCTTGAAGCATGCTTATTCCTTTGCACCCAGCAATTCTTCCTGCCTTTTCACAGATGCTCTCCTTGCTTATCTTATGAACCCTTTCCTGCTTCATTTCTTTGGGTGCCCGTATGTAGTCACACTGTCAGTGGGGCATCCCAAGTGGTGCAGACTGCATCAGTCCAGTGTTGTAATGAGCAGAGTTACAGTACCTCTAAAGAAACCTGATCAGGTACGTTCATTGTTTGCACTATCATCTCCTCTGTTGTCCCTAGTCTGTTCCATCAGTGATGGCTGCTCTTGTGACGTAGTTTGGAAGTCTAGCCTAGTGTGGGCCTTCAACTCACTAGCAAGGCTGCTGCAGGAGGCAGTGGGGCAGCCCATGCTTGCCAGGTCAGGGTTGTCTTCTGTGTGAGATTCTGCTTGACATTGTTGTCTGCATGTATGTGTGTTCTCAGCATGTAGCTGTTCCACTGCCCCCCAGTACACGCTGCTGCTTGCCGCTTATTCGCAGGCTCCTTTGGGATTATTTCATGCTGTGAAGTGTCCATCAGGTCATCTGTCCATCAGGATTTGTTGAAGGCCTCTACCAGTGCTGTTCTGGGTGCCGGGGCAGGCCAGTTTGTGGCTGTGGGGTTGGCAAGGAGAAGGGCATCTCCGTTGGGTTCTGCCAGGTGAGAGAGAGGGCTGGTGGAACTTATCAGCTAGGGACGTGACATGGCCTCAAAGGGCAGGGCACCATCCTGTGTTCAATGGCAAAGGAAAAACCTAAATATGAAAGTAATTCAACGCAGACAGTTGGATTGCCGTGGGAAGGCCGGGTAGGAGCAGCCTCCATGCGCAGCAGTGCTTGCAGTGTCCAGCAGAAGGTGATACGGGTGGACAGCTAAGGTCCTGACATGGTCACGGTCCAGGGCACAGCTGAGGCTGTTGTGTGTGCTGCCCAGTGGGGGGCTAGTCCCAGGAAGGTTTTCATTGTCTGATCTCTATTTACAGGTGAAGTCAAATGTGAGGCGCCGAACAACAAACTGGATAAGTTCACAGGGACTCTTACTCTCCACGGGGAGAAATTTGCCCTGGACAATGAGAAGATGCTGCTGAGGGGCTGCACCATTAGGAACACAGAATGGTGCTTTGGGCTTGTTATTTATGCTGGTAGGTGGAATACACAGAGGTGCAGAGTGAAAAAACTGTCACGGGGCGGGGGGCATGTAATTCCCAGTGGGCAGAGGAGAACCACTTTTGTCCCCTTTGGAAGCTTGGTTTCCACTGGATACGAGAACACAAGTGGAATGTTGAACCTTCCTCTTAGCCCCAAACTAGGAACGTGTCAAACTCACTGTGAGCGGGATTTTAACGGGAAGTTTTCTAGACCAGTCCACAAGAGAGAGGAATAGTGAACCCTATGTTGCAAAATCTCAATGCACCTTGATGGGGTTCTTTGACATAAAGAGCAGCTTCTCTTCCCCTGGAGCTGGGATCAGCAGATAACATGGGGAAAAATCTCAGCCCATCCACCTGGGCAAAGAGTCCTCAAATACTGACCCTGTTTGAGGGCGCAGTGAGCTAGTGGAACTCAATCACTTTACATGCTTGGAGAGATACTGAGCAGGTCCCAACTCCAAGCCAACCTGATTAGCTTAAAGAAACAGTGCTCCAGGTTACACCCTTGTACCAGAGTGTCAGAATTGCCTCTGGTATTAGTGTGGGGGGGAAATCTACATTGTAATAGGGGTGAGATTTGGATTATTTCTGTAGCACTGGAGACATATGTGACAATGCACAATGCATGTCACTGCTGATATAGTATCCATTATTCTCCATAAAATAAATTAAAGCCACAAGGGAGGGTGCACTGGCTGCAGGAGAGCGCAGGGAGCGGGAGTCAGGAGTTCTGGTGTCTGTTTCTGATTCTCTCTATGACTTCGGGCAAGTCACGTTACTGCTCTGTGCCTCAGTTTCTCCATCTGTAACGCAGGGATACCAATGTGACCCTGCCTCACAGGAGGGTTGTGAGGGTTAATGTATGTTTGTAAAGTGCTTTGGCGTCTCGAAGGGAAGCAGCTCTAGAATTGATCCGTGTTCTTAAAAATCATGGCTGTGTTTGATCTACTAGGGCCAGACACCAAATTAATGCAGAACTGTGGGAAAACAACCTTTAAACGGACCAGCATTGATCGGCTAATGAATGTCCTCGTGTTAGTGGTAAGTCTGATTAATTTGTCTTCACTCCTTCAGCCATGTTCATCATTGCAGAGTGCTCCACCCTCTTTCCTGACAAATGAGGGGACATCAAAAGGGACTAATGAGAAAAAGAAGAATGCTAGAAAAGTACATTAGCATATGGATTTCTGCAGCCCCTTTCAGAACTCCCATCCTGCAGAGCTAGGCCATTAAACGGATAGTGTCCAGGACCTCTCTTCATGGCTTTTCATTTGCTGTGCCCTTTTTCTCCATTGTTTGTGATAGCCACTTGGAAGCCTGCCAGTAACATTTTCCCAAATATCTTTTGTGGTTTTCCATTTAAATAAACATTGATTTTTTCCTTCTCGCTTTCAGGCTTCCTTGATATCTGCAGTAATGTCTCTCTGCTCAGCATTCGATAATTACATGGTGCTCTCTGCTGGCTGCTAAACTGGCGCTCCTGCAGTAGAGGAAAATATTGCGCGCTCATTCATAACCAGAGACTGGGGGTTTTTTAGCAAGTGGTAAATTTAAAAGCACTAAACAGATATTTACACTCCAGGGGGACAGTCTCCGACTCTCCGCTAATTAAAATGCTGCGGATTGAAACTTCTTGACAATTGTAACAAACTGCAGCTGCTCACACATGGATGCGACCGTCCTCAGCAGGGATCAGTCCTGGGGATTCCGTCCCAAGGGCTTCTGCCTGGAGCGTAAAGCGTAGCTCCTTTCAGTGGCTGCTGCGGTCTAGCGGCCTGTCCTAGCGGCTGGGCCCTGTCCCTACGGGGAGATGTGCTCACACACACACTAGCCAGTGCCTTATCCAATGTTGCTTGAAGAACAGCTCAGGAGTGTGCTCAAGGAAAAGCGAATTTAGCTTAGCCCAGATATTTAGCTTTTAATAGTAGCTTCTGTTCCTGCGTTTCAGAGCACGCCTCCGTTGACATGGAGACTGTCAGTAGTTTAATGTTACGAGACTGAAATCATAACAAACCAACCGAGATTAGACTGGCTCCCCCCGAGCCAGTGCAACGCCCACAAAAGTGAACACTTGTACGTCCATTAAATCAGCTCCGGCCGCAGGGGGATGTGACCACGCCAGCACACATTCACCTTCACCAGGGCCGGCTCCAGGCACCAGCCTGGCAAGCAGGTGCTTGGGGCGGCCACTCCGGAGGGGGCGGCACGTCCAGCTATTCGGTGGCAATTTGGCGGAGGGTCCCTCACTCCCGCTCGGAGCGAAGGACCTCCCGTCGAATTGCCGCTGCAGATCGCGATCGCGGCTTTTTTTT